TTAAGAACAAATCTGTGCGTACGAACGGTTCTTGCATGAGGCCCAATGTCTTTAAATGATGGAACAGTTGGGCTATGAGACTTTGTGTTTCATGTCAAGTTTTGTCTTTTTCTTGTTCAGTTTGTTGCAGTAATCTAGGACACCGGGGGCTCGAGAGGAARCAACAAGTCTATTTTGAAGCAGCCTCATTCTTTATGCCTGTCGGATTAGAAGAAAATGGTTGAGAGGATGAAGGGAATCGCTGATGAGCCACAGTATTCTGTTAGCCTCCTTGATGGAGGCACAACCCTTTCTGATGTGATTGACAATCACGTTGATGAACAAACTCTGGTAAGGATGTCCACCGTAACAGAACATCTTTTAATAAAACCCCAGATTTGTCACTGCTCTAAAATAGTTTTCAAACCAGTTATATTATGATTCGTTGCTCACTGCTTTATAGTATACAGCACATTGAAAGGTGTACACACTGTGTTTTGACTTATCCCTGTGTGTGTTTCTTCCTATCCCAGTCTGAGAAGAATGCATTCTTTGTAGCRGACCTGGGGGTCATAATGARGCAGCATGTTCGCTGGCGAACTCACATGTCCCAAATCCGACCCTACTATTCTGTTCGATGCAACAGCAGCCCAGCTGTGATTGAAGTTCTTGCTGCTTTTGGCTCTGGCTTCACRTGCACCAACAAGGTATTCTTTCACAACATGTACTGTATGAACACTGTTACCAGTTAGTTAGTTAGTTTGTTTGTTTTAAAAGCCTTTTCTGCCCCTTAATCTGATCACATCAAGCAGCTGTAAATTKAATATGTTTACATTAAAAATATATGGTCCACAGGATGTAGAATTAATTACATGCAGATGACAAACTAATCAGTTTCTTGCATCCCTAAAAGTCTTGAAAAGTCCAGATGGCATCATAAAGTGGTAAGAACCAAACTGAAACACACAAGAGCCCAACAGTTTTAGCAGCTACACGCCACTGCAGTAAACTGTTAGAAGGTGAAAATACTGTGCCACAGGTGGAGTATAGGCACAGGGCATGCGTCACGTACTGTATTGTATTGTGTTTTTTTTTATGGAGCTGAATTTACATTAATATTTATGTTATAAAATTAGTAAATTATATTTTTCTTATTAATTTAGCTTGAAAAAGCACAAGAGGGAAAAAAATTGCATTCCTTTTATTACTGTCTGGTTTCTACAATATTACAGGAATTGTTGCAAACTACTTGTAGGTAGATTCTATGAAAAAAAAAATCAGCCAAAGTCTGTCTGCAAACTGTGAAATACAACTTTGTGGGGCTTCACTGTATCGTATGGTCTTAATGTCTTACAAAGGACCTGTTATGGGGTCCTTGAACAAGTTAGAATACATCTAACTTACAATACATCAGTCATGTGTGCATGCGCATATATGTGTGTGTGTGTGTATATATATATATATATATATATATATTAAACCAAATATATACGTTTATTGGGATCTGTCTTTGTCTCCTTGTGTTTCAGGCTGAACTTGAGCTGGTGCAGAGTCATGGTATTCCCTCTGAAGACATCATTTACGGTGGTGTTTGCAAACAGGTCTCCCAGATAAAATACGCTGCTAAAAACGGCATTGACCTCCTGGTGTGTGACAACGAAGCAGAGCTACGCAAGATTTCTCGCTGCCACCCCAATGCCAAGTATGTGTTTAATAATTTGTACCAGAGCTCGTTTGAGTTKAAAGCTGCTGTTTGTGTTTTGCATTAAGGATGGAGATTTCAAGMAAACATCCTATTCAAATTTCATGGATAATTTTGATTTTTGATTTTCAAAAATTTATCCCTGTTTTTTTATTTTATTTTATTTTATTTTTTTATTTATTTATTTATTTTTATTTTGGCAGCTGTTGATTGAGAAACGACACCTACTACTGTTAGCAGCATGTTACTGTCAGGTACCAGTGGAAACGATACAGCCACTAATCAAAACATTGGGCCTCATGCAAGAACATGTTTGTATTCTTATCCTAAATTTCTCTTACTTTTATTCGTACAAAGGGTTCGTACGAACATGTCACGTCAGATTCAACAAACTCCTCTATCTTCAGGAAAAGTGTGTAAATGAGGAACATAAACTGATGAATGTGTATCAGGTGTTCGTGCATTGGGAGAGGTGATTTACATAATTGCCACCCCAAAAAAACACTGTATAAGGATATACGTTTCCTGCCACACATACCAGGAAGTGTCCATTCATAAGTGACATCGCAAAGTAAAAAAGAAGAACTTTACGAGTTCGAAGATGGAAGTTCTGCTCTYGGAGATCCACAAAAAAAAGTAATTTTTATCAGCGTCAGCTGTGGAATTAAAGGATCTACTTTAAAGCCGAGGAATGTAATGATGACTGCTATTAATGTCGTGTCTCCTGTCAGAAATAAAAATCGAATTCATATTTATCTCTCTCTGTAGTCCTGCTCCGGTTTATCTTTGGTCAAATATTTTTAATTTCAGTGTAAACAACTGTGTTGCACGTTTCACTTATTCAGAACACCGCACACACACACCCCCACCAGGACTTGAAGTGTAGGATGCGTTTCTGGAGAAAAAGCATTTTAAAATGTCTCAAAACTTCAATAAACCTCATATTAATATTGCAGTGCTATACAACAAAATTAATAGCCAATTTATTTTAGTTCAACCAATTTATGTCGTAGTCTACATTATTACATTTAAAATTATAAYTCTAAWTCAAACAGAATAGCCTATTGTCAACATAATTATGGAGTGTGATTTATTTTCAACTCAAAATATCTTCAAACTAATGAAAATATAAAGTTATTAATGAAGAAAACCCGTCTGGATAACAGCAGACTGACTGCTCGTAAAATATACGACAGGTCTGGTCCACTCGTAAATTTTGTTCGTATCTGAAAAAAATCTTAGAATACGAAAACATTGGTGAATGCCACAAATTCTCCTAAATCACTCGTACGCACAACTTAAGAACAAATCTGTGCGTACGAACGGTTCTTGCATGAGGCCCATTGTGCCTCCTTTTGTGAAGATTTTGACCTTTTCCTGCAGAGTTTAGTGACCACAGCCAATACTGAGTATCTCTGTAGCTTTTTCTGCCAACTCGTGATTTTTTTTATTTTTTTATTTTTTTCAGAACCCAGAATACAGTGAACCCCTCTGAAGTTGCTTTTCAGAATTTGCACTCAGTCATTTGTGAATTTTTCCTGAGAACATAATTAATTTTTGTTTGTGAGAACTCCCTCAAGTTTCACAGAAACTGAAAATATCCTCCACATTTTTTTTTGGTGGCAATACATAATTTTTTAACGTAATGAACTTTTATTCTCCTCTTTGCTGTGTAGTCTTTATCTTCAGTACATACCTTCATTGTACTGCTCAGCTAACTTATCATTTCCAGAACGGCCTGCGTCCGCCACTGCCTGAAATATTTCTTTCCAACAATCTCAAACTGAGCCACACAAAATGAATGAAGTTAAACTATTGGTGAAGAAAAACAGAAACTTTTCTCTTTTTTGTGCTTTATAAAGACRTGTCTGTGTGAGCTGTGTACAGGACAGGTTGGACATTCAGGCTGAATGGAGGACATAAAGAAGAAGTAATGCCTTCAGCGCGAGTCCATGAGCTCTAAATCTGGGTTTATTTTCTCAACAAAACGATAAACYGTTTGTTTCTCGTACGTGATTTAGGCTGCTGCTACAGGTGGCAACAGAGGCGTCTAACCCTGACGACGAGCTGAGCATGACGTTTGGCTGCTCCCTGAAGGACTGCAGACACCTGCTGGAGAGTGCCAAGGAGCTGGGTGTGCAGGTTGTAGGAGTCAGGTGAGATCTGTAGATTACAAAACTCATCTTGGAACAAAACACACTTGAACCACCACCAGGCTACATGGTCATTTTTAACTATTTAAATTTTGTGTTAAAAAAAAGTACTTTTCATTTTATTTTAACAATGTCAGCTTGACTGTTAACTGTTATCTGTCATAGGTCTCACATTTCTAGCTGCTTTAAGGACGATCAGGTGTTTGTTCACGCCATCTCTGACGCCCGATGCATCTTTGATATGGCGGTAAGACATTCCGGTTGTCACTTTTTATTAAAGGGACAGTTCAGACATTTGGGAATTAGGTTTTTATGGAAAGGTTCTGCATAAATGTATTTTATAGAAACTATCTTGAACAACAGCGACTTCAAGTGTAGCTAAAACCAGATGGGTTGTTGTAAAATCCCAGTCCAGTCTCCAAAACATCAAAGTGGTTCATTTGAACCCTATATTTATAATCTTTATATCCCATCAGTTTTGTTTTACATGTTTTAAATTCTGTGGTTATTTTCAAGTTTAATCAGCAGCAGCACTTCTGAAGCAGCTTTGGGTTTGTCCAGCAAGAGGAATAAGCATGTCCATTTCATTTTAGTTTATTTTTATGGAGTCAGTTCACAGCTAAAGTTATCTCAGGGCACTGCACAACAAAAATAACAGGTCCAAATTTAGTTCAAAACAGATCCAGATTCAGATCAGTCTAATTATAGAGCAGTATGATCACTACAGGGATTAAAGTTCTCAGTTTGTTGTCATCTGTAAAAATGTGAAGAAACAAAAAAAAAAAACTCAAGTTGTTTTTGGTTGTTGTCTCGTTAAAGCCATCCAATCTAATTATGATGCAAGGATTAAACTTACGCTGCTTTCAGCATATAAAGCAAACCAGAGCCAATCAGAGCAGAGCAGAGCAGGTCGTTCTTCCTGATGTACGGCGATCCCAGGTGACGCTGTGAGAAACTGCAGGTGAAAACACCGATCAGTCTGCAGCTGCTGTCCAGAGCGAGGAGCACCRTCTGTATGTGTTCACACGTGACCAGTTTACTGAAGCCAGAGGACGCCAAAGCTAAGAGAGGAGAAYGACACACGTTGGGCGTATTTGCATCTGTTTTACATATTAAACTGGAGGCGTGTCCGGGGAGGAGCCTACGTGCGCTCAGTTTCATGTTTACTGGGATGTATGAATGAAAGGAGAGCACAGCTTAATAAGTCCGAATATTTCTGTGCACATACTTTTCCACTTTCATGCTGCACACTCTTTGATACATGAGGACCCAGGTCTTTTGTATCTAAACTCTAACATTGTGTTCAATGTTAATGTGTTCAAAGTTTATAAAACTGTTTTCGTGACCCAACACAAGATCCCAGGAGACTGAAGCTGTTTAAATACAGTGGAGMTGTATTTTGGTTTTAGAGCTGTTAACTCACTTGTTCGGTCAGATTTAAACTCTTTTTATCCAAACTGAGGTTGTTCAGAAAGYTATCTATAACAGATAAGATATTAATTGTTCATAGCTTTTCTTTGAGSCCCACTTAATAACAACCAAAACAATCCTTTGAATATTAAAAATCTTCAGTTTCAGAAACCAGGCAGCACTTTTATCCTTTCATTTGTATATGAATCTACGTTTCTCTCTGTSTGTCATGCAGGAGGAAATTGGTTTCAGCATGAACATTCTGGATCTTGGAGGTGGATTCAGTGGATCTGAGAGCCAGCTGGAAATGGTCAGTATCACTTCATCTACTCTTTATACAAACTGAGGAAGTTAGGATTCAGTTTCARGAGTCTGCAGTTTTACATTTAATCAGTTCTCTTTGAGCAAATAAAGTTTCTGAGTTAGATTTTATTAGTCAGAGTKTAAAGGAGACTTCTCAAAGCCTCTGCTGTCTTTCTTCAGATTACCAGCACGGTGATGTCCATGGTGGATTTATACTTCCCTTCTTCTACTGGAGTTTCCATCGTCGCTGAGCCTGGCAGCTTTTTTGTSTCGTCTGCGTTCACCCTGGCTGTCAACATCGTCTCTAAAGAGGTGGTCGCTCGTGACTGCMGAGACCAGGACCCTGGTCAGTGATATGACATTTTCAGAGTATTACAAAGAATGTGCTTAAGAAATACTTGGGACTTTGTGTAAAATATAAATAAAACCAAACTGCGCTCTGTTTTTATTTACGTTTTAAATAATTCCCCAGCATTTTAGGAACGAAAAAGTGGGTTGATGTCAGTAAAAGTCTTCTTGTCTCCCTCTTTCTTGAACAGAGGAGCTGTCCCCCAATGATGAGCCTGAATTCCAGTATTTCATGAGTGAGGGGGTTTATGGATCATTTTCCAGCAAACTTTCTGAAACTCTGATCTCAGCCCCGTCTGTTCACAAGGTGAGTCTCCAATTCTTAAATTAACAATCCAAATCAAACTTTCAAGAACGACCAAAATGATGTTTTTAATCCCTTCAAGCAGAAACTGCCTGTGGATGCTGCGGTGTTCAGCAGCAGCCTCTGGGGTCCYTCTGGGGACGACCTGGACCAGGTAGTGGAGCACTGTCTGCTGCCTGAGCTCAGCGTAGGAGACTGGGTTCTGTTCACACAGGCGGGGGCCTACAGCCTGGGTCGACCCCTCCCCACCTCCACTGGCTCAACGCCGCCTCCTGTTTACTACGTCATATCTTCCAGAGACTGGCAAGTATCTCTAAATGATGTCGGGTTTGATGAAAACAAATGTGATTTATATATTTCATGGCGTTTTGTTTTCCTCCTCTAGGTTTGAAATGCAGGATTCTGGTGCCGCCCACGAGAACACGCTGAAGAACTTCTCAGTCACCTCTTACTTTCTCAGCTCCTGTCAAACCGAGGCGGCTCTGTCTGTTCCAGCTTAGCAACCAGCAAAGCTTTTTACTTCTCTTACTGGTTTTATGCTGCTAGCACCCTCTGGTATACACTTCACTGGGATGGACTCAATCGGTAGTGTAGATTAATGTTTGACGGGGACCAGCCTGATCTGGACTCTTCATCTCATAAACATGTAACRTGTGATTGAATCCAACAGAATGCATGCATCCAGAAGATCCAACCCTGGGATCTACAGCTCACATCATGTGGCGTATGATTATATCGTGTTATTTACAGCTCTACTGATGTTGCCAGTCTTGTAAAGTTAAACGTGCGTCTATGAAGGAAGCAGATTTTATRTTAGAAACACAGGTCTCTGATATTTTATGGAGCTTTGCTACATGTATTTATAATTTGGATTCGTTGGATAATTTATTATCTATAAGAGCCTAACTCCACTGTTACAYGGTGTTTGTAWTTTTACTGTTTCTAAATGGGACCTTGCAGTGTAGCGTTGCTGCTCTACAGATTTGAAGCGAGTCGCGTCATCAAGACGTCGATGCAGCCCGGGGAAATACAGCCACTGGTGTGAGGAGGAAGCAAAATGTTCAGTGTTCACCAGTCAGCTGGTGGTTTTGTGTCTTTCTAAAGTGCTGGAACAAGTCGAGGGCCAGCAGGTATAGCGCTGAGACAATGTGCTCACCGCTTACAGATTTCTGTTTCTGTTGTATTTGTCACATTTAAGATCAGCAAACAAATGGTAATTTCAAAGATAACACAAGCAAATAATAAATGCAGTTTGTAAAGGATTGTTATTAAGGAAAAACAACTCTCCAAACCACTTTGGCCTTTTATTTAAAAAAAAGTAACTGTCCCCCTAATCCTAATTACTGCTCCAATTAGACTTTTGTAGTCAGTCACAGGTGAGCTTGAGCTCAGGGTCATAAACTGGTGGTCATCCCCAGACCATCACACTACCACCACTGTGTTTGACTGTCAGTCTGATGTTCTGGATCTGAAAAGAACTGGCTTTACTCCAGATGTGACAAAACTCAAATCTGCCAGAAGTTTTCACTTTTGTCTGGTTACMCAGGGAGCTTCAGAGCAGAGGCCATTGTTTGTCTTTTTCTTATTGTTGAATCGTGAACTTTGACCTTAACTGAAGCAGTTAAAGCCTGCAGTGCTTCAAATGTTCTGGCTCTTGGAGTAACTTTGGTTTCCCCTCCGCTCTGGGGAAGGTTTACCATCTTTGTGGTTAATGAGTGGTCTGTGTGCGAGTGAAACTGAACTCAGCTTTCAAAAATAAATAAAATAATAATAATAATAATAATAAGTCAGTTAATTGGTGATTTAACCATAGAGGTAATTACTTCTTCACATATGATTTTTCCAGTTGTTGATTTTTTTTTCATTTAAAAACTGCATTTTGTATTGAGTTGATTTTGTCTGATGTTAACACTTGTTTTCTGAGCTGAAATGTGAAAGTTTGACAAAAAAGCACAACTGGAAGAAATCTGTAATCTGTCAATACATTCTCCTAACTAACTGCTGTGCCACCAGATACTAAAGCAGGATKATTAGTCAGTACGTGCTGCAGGTGGAACCAGGAAAGTGCCGATGGTTGCCAGATCAGCTGACAGAAAATGAGAGATCTTTAAAAGTGTAGTTCTGGTGCAAGAAAGTCGACTTTCTGRTATTTGTAATTCTAAATATCATTCAACATGTTGAAAGGGTTTTACATTATTTTCTGACACAAACATTTACAAATCTTGTGTTGTGTGTGAAGTCGAGTCCTAAGAACAGTAAATGAACAGGAACCAGTTAAGTTGTAGCTGTACTCGTCAAAATGAACAATAATAAAAGACCTTATTGACTTGAATGATTGAATTTTATTTTCAACGGTGACTTCAGGTGTTGCAGTAACATCACTGGGTTAAAACTGAACACCTGGGATCTTGATGCAGACAYGGGCTGGAAAGCTTAAATCACTCACGGTCAACATGCAGAACATAGATCAAAAGCAGGGGTGGTGCTAGGCTTTTTTTGCAATGGGTGGCTGAGGTGTTTCTAGGGGGGCACATGCAAATAAAAGAAATTACTCTGGATTTGAAAATTCATGATGGCTGACAGCTAATTTCAAATGCCAAAGCTGAGATTTTGTGTGATCATATCTAAGAATGATCCAAACAACATGAATGCTAGTCACAATTTAAAATTCAGCCATTGTTAAACATGCAAGGCTGAAAATTAGTGAATATGTATCTAGAAACAATCTTTACTTAATTCCTAATTGCTAATCTAAAATTTAAGATGTCCACCACGGCTAACTAAAAGGTTAAAATTTAGCCATTTTAAGATTTAAATGAATGAAGTAGCAAAGAATGATTACATGCCAATTACCTAACCACTGATTCTAATGCTAATTTTACCAAGTGATTCAATTCAGCCATTTTAAAACATGTAGCTAAAAAAATTCATACATCGTATCAGAGAACAATCTAAAAATCAAAATGTAAATCCAAAATCCCCACCTACTTGCCAATTAATTGAAGGTGGCACCTGGGTTGGCCAATCGGCTGCCAGCCACCCCTCTGGCTCCGCCCCTGATCAAGTGTATCAAAACTTTGTAACTGCCTACAAAATAGATGTATTTAAAAACATTAAAACAACGATCTGAACAAATATGAATGTTTGCTGTGTAACAACAAAAATATTGTAATACTTTATGAATACAAATAAACAAAAGCTTTATATTATGAAGATTTTTAAATATGACACAAAGACCAAATTAAACCTTCTTTGGTCAGCAGGAAAAGTAAAAATATTAAGACTTACAGAGTACAGTTAGTGTTAATGCTCTTTTTAATATCAAATGTAAATTGATTCATTGCCATGTTTTCAGCATCAATAAAGGCCCATCATTCCTCAAAATACTGCATGTTGGTGTTAGTGGTTGATCAGTTGTAGTAGTTGTAACTGATTAGTTTTTCAAAGTTTTGTTAAAACCCTAMCCAGCTCTGTTATTCTGCTAAAAGACAAACAGGGATGAATCCAGCGTGATTTCTGTAAAAATTACTGCATTTCTACATGGCACCAAGTGTAAAATAGAAAGTTAAAAAACATCAGTAACACATTYTCATTATTTAGCTCACTTCCTGAGTGAAAATCCTAGTTAAAAATTTTCCTCAAACATTTTATTGTTGTTTAGCTCACTGTTCTTACATTTCACAAATTGTTATTAAATGTTACATTTAAATGATAAATGCTGTTAAATTACAAATCTAAATATAAAAATTAATGTTGAATACTGTCATTAAATGATAAAAAACACATTTAAGAATTTCGGAATTGAATGCATCCTTTGATATCAGTTCGAAGCTTTTGTTATGATGTCATCATACTGTGACAAGAGCAAACGCTAACGTGCTAACGCTGCTAATGTTGGCTTTGTCACTGCCTGATCTGTTCCAGAAGTACTATAATTTGTGCATGCGCTAAAAAAATACTTCTCGTTCACTGATGTGCTCGATTTAGTACTGGAATTAGACAATTTAAAATCTAATTTCTAAATGTGTTAATTGAAAACAATGTGGATGGTACCAGCGGTCCGGCAAAATTTTACATTTAACTTTACATTTAGATTTGGGATTAAATCTTTAGATTAGATTACATTTAACGTGGAAATTTAACATTCAGAAAAAATAGCTAACTGTAWGAACAGTGAGCTAAATAATAAAATGTTAGTGGAAAATTTAAAACTAGGATTTTACACTCAAAGTGAGTAAAATTATTTCATTTTACACTTATCTCCCCATAAGCTGTAGCTATTATGGTTTCTCAGGTCACTTAACTGTGGCAACTTCTTGATTTAGGTCGACTTAAAAGTGAGTTAGTTCTAAACATGCATCCAGTAATTTCTGGAAATTAGAAATACAATTTGTCCAGTGGTTTATCATTTTCATTCACCTCCACTTTTTAGCGGCACGTGCTAAAATGAAAATGTATGTGCAAATTCTTCAAATTCATAGTCTTTGTGCTTTCGGTCCTTTTCAGGCTGATTCAGAGACAGTGACAGATGCTTTATCTTCTGGGGTGAGTTCTGCWGCTGGGGGGGTCCCTAACATCCAGCAGGGCTTCCTCCTCACCACAAAGTGCCGTCGGGCGTGCTTGGCCAGGTGGTCGCTGCGCATGAAGCGGCTGAAGCACAGCGGGCAGGCGAACCTTTTCTCTCCYGTGTGGGTCCGCCGGTGCCGAGAGAGTTCATCGGAGCGAGCGAAGCTCCTCTCACAGCCCTCCCACTTACATCTGAAGGGTTTCTCACCTGTTGGACAYACGCATGAATGAAGTACACACGTTTAGGTTCAAACAATCAAATCAAATCAAAGGTTTTTATTTATTTCAAATGTGTTCAGGTTTGACACCACGAGCTGATGCCAAAGTTTTGGGAGAAATTGTTGAACATTGGGCCTCATRTAAGAACSGTTCGTACGCACAGATTTGTTCTKAARTTGTGCGTACGAGTGATTTARGAGAATTTGTGGCATTCACCAATTTTCTCGTAAGATTTTTTTCAGATACAAACAAATTTCACGAGTGGTCCAGACCTGTCGTATATTTTACGAACAGTCAGTCTGCTGTTATCCAGATGGATTTTCTTCACTAATAACTACATTTCATTAGTTTGAAGATATTTTGAGTTGAAAATAAATCACACTCCATAATTATGTTGACAATAGGCTATTCTGTTTGAACTGGAATTAGATTTTAAATGTAATTAATGACATAAATTGGTTAGATTATATTAAATTGGCTATTAATGCTGTTGTATAACACCACAATATCATTATGAAGATCTCAAACTAAAAACCAACTTAAATTATACATTAATTGAAATTTGGAGAAATTTTAAAATGCTTTTTTTTTAGACAAAAAGTAAGAGAAATTTAGGATAAGAATACAAACATGTTCTTGCATGAGGCCCAATGAGTCTACTACCACAATAAGTTTTACTTTAACAGGTGTAAAACTGACTGAGTTGAGTTTGTTTTAGTTAAAATTAGTTGTGGCAGCCGTCTCAAACTGGACCGACTCCTAAGTCTGCCTCTGCCCTCCGTGGATGTGTGATTTAAAAAAACGCTCGCAGCGGTCGAGCCCCTCGTCTCTCACCTGTGTGTGTCCTCATGTGGGCCTTGAGGTGGGAGCTCTTGAAGTAGGTCTTGCTRCAGTCCTTGTGTGGACAGACGTGACTGCGTACGCGTGGTGCTTCGGTTCGGGGTGAGGTGCATTTTTGCGGTGGCAGGACGTGTCCAGGAGCCGGGGCGATGGGTGCAAACTTAGTGCTGGCAGCGGTTGTYGCCGCTTGCTGAACATAAACCGTTGAAACAGACGGTGGAGGGACCAGGAGCATTACAGGGCCTCTCGCCACCTGACCCCCGACGAGGAACACCCGAGTCTGTGGCGATCCGTACTCTTGTTTGAGGGGCTGCTGTTGTGGAAGATGCAGGGGGGTGAAAGCTAATGGGACAGGTGTGGCGGCAGGTTTCTGCACCACGGTTGGGGCTGCAGGAACAGAACCACTGAAGGATGGCTCCAGAGCAGTGAACTGAGCTGTATTTGATTCATCATCCAGTCCGGACTCTCCCAGGACGGCATGAGGTTTCTGAGTTGCAACAGTCCCTTCACAGTCTCGGCTRCAGCGGTTCAGATCAGTTTGAGGGTCCTCAGGAGGAACCCTGGTCAGTGTGTCGTCCTGCAGGAGCGGAAGACGGTTACAGTCGGCCGTGTGGCAGATGACACTGGTGTACTGGTACTTCTGGGGAACAGCAGCGTGTCGTGGGATCTCCTCTGAAGAGGGATGAAATTTCAGCACTGTGGACTGATGGGAGGCTTCAGAGCAGGGTGGGCTGTGTGGTGGGGTCATACACTGAAAGTAAAAACACATAATCACAGATTTAATATAAGATACTTTAAATTGTACTGATAATGCATGAATTATTACTTTAATGTGATGTTATAACCAAAGAAGACTCAAAAAGGAGATAAAATGAATGTCAGGACCAGACCAAAGAAAGGGKTTACAGGGGCATCAGACCAGGACCCCAAAACTGTGAGTGCTAAGTCAACATTTATGCTACTGTATCAATATGTTTGGTTTCATCAGTAGCGTGTTACAACTTTTGGTTTTAACACATTTTAACAAAATATTTTCCTTTATCGGGGCCTGCCATGAGAGAAGTATTGGAAGCAACGCAGTGCAGTAATCAGTGGGTTTATGTCTAATACTGATTACCATTGAGACTCATTCAGATTCAAGATGGCCACCACACATACCTTAGATAAGAGGTTCTCAAACTGGGGGTCCCTGGACCCCCAGGGGTCCATGAGAGGTATCTTGGGGG